AAAGTTTTTCTTTTTACCATAGTTTACGTTTTGAGTCAATTATTCAAGATTTAAGTTTGCAAATTTATGCAGTTTTTCCAGTCCTTTTATAAGTAGCTTTTGGTTTAAGTAGGTACACTTGAATACTCATTCACACATACCTCATACAGAGTAACTGGCAATATTCTCAACTGCAGAAATGTATAAAATTCATACCATTAAATTGAAGAACAGGTGTTTTTTTTTTTTCCGGAAGACCTCTTACTTAAAAAGTAAAATACCATCTGTTACTTTTTGTTTGTGTATTTATATAACAATCTTTGGTTAAAGATCAAGTAAGGCAAATTGTTATATATACTACAGAAAAAATATAAAAAGAAAAATCATCCTTAGAATAACTATATCCAATAGAAATTGTTTTGTCAAAATTGATTAATTTTGAGATGTCAAATTGTGGATCTAAAACAAAGTTACTAACTTTTATAGAATGCCCAAACATATAGAGAAATGAAATGGTTTGCCTTGATTTTTCTGAACTGATTGTATTTAAAAGGTATATACTTTTCCACTGTTGATTTCTCTTGGCATATTGAGTTCATGCCTAATTTCCCTAAATCATTGTATATTCTTTCAAAATCTGCACCTTGTCACATATATTTGCATTATTGATTTTCTGCTGTGCTCTATATACATCAAAACCTAATAATATTATTCACTAGATCCTAGATTCTCTGCAGCTTCAACCTCATTTATCATACCTGGTTTATTTCTAACATCTAAGCTATATGCCTTCTGAATAAAAAAAATTTTTGACTGGATAACAGTGCATGCAATATTTGCCCTGACTCCATATCACATAGGATTTCACATGAAATATGGAAAAGAAAATATTGATAATCATTATAAATGGACTTTGAAGACATTTTAATATCAGCTCAGTACAGTAAATCCTTTGCTATAGAAGTGGTCTAGTTTGATCTGTTATAGGTTTATAGAAAAGTGTATTATGAATTCACTTCTTAACATTGTTAGGCAGGGGCCAGTAAAAGGGATAGGAAAAGATCTGGCTATTTGAGTACAAGGCTCATCCAAATCTCTTTCCAAAGGGTAAAAGAATAAATAATAGTAAACATTATTATTAATTATGTACTTGGTAATTGCATATCTGGTTTTGAGCCCCAATGTGTTCATATTTCTGTTGTTTGATTCAGAGTGAGCAGAGAGGGAGTCACATGGGACTGACAAGGCAAGAAGGTGAAGACAGCTATTCACTCCATGTTCGCATTTACTTTGAGTCTAACAATGAAGAGAAGCTCAGGTAAAAACGTCAAAAGACTTGTGATATATATGGCACTGTATTTAAATCAGAAGTAGATAAAATGAGATGGTGTTTCAGAAGAACATTCCTTCAACAACTAAAGAGCTTGCAAGATTGACCACAAAGGAAGTATTAGGGAGATCTTCAACACTGATTTTTTTCAGAATTTATCTGTTTCTAAATCCGACATGCTGCCTGGTTCCTATGTTTTCCTCTTTCATAAACTTTGCTTATAATTAACAAAGTCTGTTAGTTTAAGGCATACATCTTAGTTGGGTCTAGAATGTGTGTGTGTGTGACTTCAATAGTGAAAAGTATTATCAAATTTCCCTCAACGGAAAGAAAATGTCAGAAAAATGTAGCTAGAATTTTGTTGACCTAGTCATATTTAACCTAAGATATTTTCTGAGTAATTATCAGATGATTAATGTGTCTTTATATTTTATAATTAAGTTTAATTTTTAAGATATAGTGTAATATTTGGATTTTGGGCAAGTTTAAGATACTACATAATAGTAATGCTGCGAAGTGACAGTGAAGACTGAATTAGCTGAAACTTCCATACACTACTCCATCATTATCATTGCCTAATTTTATTTATCAGTAACTTTACTGCCTTGTTTTTATTTGTGTAAGGTAAGCTTATGAAATCGCCAAAAATATAAAAGATTTGAGTAGAGGCAGAGTCTGTCGTAAGAGTCTGTCATTGTCAGAGTCTGACTAATAATCTAAGACCTTATGTATAATCAATGCTCAATGGCATATAAGAATGTTATATCTATACTGTTTGGCTACAGAATTAAATCAAAGAAAAAACTAGATGGAGCAAAGAGGGAAAGCTTATTATAATTTTAGAGTATATACGTGATGACATATTTAGAAGAAAGACACTAATTCTTTTTGAGGAGGCAGAATTTGATTTTAATAGGGAGAAAGATTTTAGTTTAAAAAATATAACTTCATTTATATCATTCTATTTTCTCCTCGCCCACCCTCTTCTCTCAGCAGCTCTCCCCTCTCTTCTTCCCTTCTATCTCTTCTCACCTGCGATTTTCTGACTTTATCAAGTGGTTACTATACGACAGGCACTGCATTAAATGTATGAATACACCTACTATTCAACTTTCAGCCAATTGCTTCTTGGTGTTTTTCTTTATTTGAAACTAAGAATAATAAGCTTGTACTATGACCTTTCTAGAAATGAAAAGGTCATGTAAACAATATAAACAATTGACAACTGTTGCATAAATACTTATTTTAGGCTTGTCTGCTTTCTGGGTCTCATAATTCAGTGATTCTCTCATTATTGCAGTTAGTGTAAAAATAAGTAGTGTGGAAATATTGCTCCTTAATAGCACAGTGTGACATGAATGCAAAGAAACTATTTTATGCAAGACAGCATCACATATTTCACTTATATTTAAGATAAGTGACTGGAAACTAAATTAGTGAGATCATTAAAATAGGTTGTGTGATTCCTTGAGTGACACAGCAAATGTCCTATGAGACCCTCAAAGTACTGTGACATATAATCAATAGGTAGAAAGCAAATGAATTGCTGTCTAGTTGGCATACATCTTAGGCCAACTATTTGAAGTGCCTTTGTACAGGTAAAGGGATGAACTGCTTCCTGCCTTCAAATTGATGTTCTAAGGCTGAAGGGTCATCAGTTCAGCTATTAAATGGCACAGAAATACTTTAATTTTCTAAAAAAAATTAATTTATGATTATTGCTTCATTCCTTTTTACATAAAATTATAAAGGAATTCTTGGGAAATAAGCTATAGTTGAATGGAAGAGGATAAAAATAACTTTTGAATTTGAATCAGTCATTACTAAAAAGTACCAGAGAAAGTGTACAAGGATCACTTATCAAAGTGATAAAAGCCGGGGAGAGTGAGTTGAGTTAATTTCACTTGGAGGGAACAGAAACAAGTTTAAGTCTATACATTTTTTATGAAGCAATTTTGTTACACCTTATTTGTATGTAAGTCGACAGCTGAACTGAGTATTTTCTCCTATGAAAGCTAGAGGCAAATTTGGCTTAACGCCTAGAAGAATAGAGTGCTTGAGTGCTCTTTCAGGTCCCTCTCTGGAAAGTTGTTTCTATGTATGCACTATAGAAACATCATCTTTCTTCTATCATTCTCTGTGGCTAAATGACAAGGGTTATTTTTTCACCAGTGATGTTGAATAATTCAATTTGCTACTGAACTTCATAATATCATTTCTGCCAAACATACCAAAATCCACCAAGATTTTTCATTAAGAGTTAAGGATTAAGCCACTAAACTACAAATCATCTGTTTACTTCCTCGATTCTAGTCATTGAGATAATAATATATATGAAAGGTACTTTTTTTATATTTGCAATTAATCTGAGAGCATAGTTTATATAGGTTTTTATTTCCAGTCTTTTGTAACATGACCACTACCACCACCAACTACAAAAGTTCTGTGCAGTTGATATCATTTTTGTCCCCAGGGAGAAAAAAGTTGGTAAACACTCAGAATTAAAATTGCTAATTTTTAATTCCCATCATTTTGGTTCCTACTCTATCAGTTGCACTGGTGGTGACAAAGCCTCCAATCATAGCAATAATTTTCCTATGATAAATTAAATGACATCAAAGTATATCTATAGTTTATTACTTTTTGTATGTTTTAGTTAAGTTGGTAAAAGTAATTGAAAGGCTAAAGAAAAATATCAGTGTAATAAACTTAGGCTTTGTTGGTATAATTTTACAAAGAAAAGCAAGAAGTGGGCATCTTGGGATTTTGCTTTCATTGGATTTCCCCATCTTTTCAAATGTCCCCAGAATACTACTGGCTTGGCCAGGCCTCCTCCACAATACATTGATATTGTCACCATAATTTGCAGCATAATTAATAATTAAGATAAAAAGCACAGGTATTATTATTAAAAATTCCAAGACTCAATATCCTAATTCTATTTTCCTAAGACACATATATAAAATATAAGTGGGCTTATATCCTTCAGGTACAAGAGAGGAAGGCATCTGGATATTTTACAAAATTACAGGGACAAAACAATTTGTGATTTTAATAATACCATGGATAGCCCACAAAGTGATTTAGGTAAACTTTGAAATGGCATTTTATATGCTCAGTATACTGTATTTTGTTTCTCTCAATGAAAAAATATAGCTTTGGTTAGATTGGAATTTTTAGGGAGACTGTGCATTAATTTTAATTTTCAAAATGTTCCTCTAAATTTGCTACTTTCTGGCTTTGCTTCAAATAATTTTATTTTAGTGAACTGGGACTTTAGTTAATCTCTACAAACTCACCCAGAAATGGAATTACTCTTTCTGTTATTACTGTTTTTAAATTCTCTTATCTACCCAATTCTGTGTCACAAGTCACTTAAGTTCATCCTTGCTTTATTGAGCTACGCATGAATTTGGGATCTGAAGTACTAATTCTTATCTATGTAAAAATTTTCCTAGAAGAAAAGGAAGCACTATGCTGAGTGTTCAGACAGCCCTTTTTCTGCTTCCTCTATACTGTTTTCATAGCATTAGCTACCATATCATGTGGTTGCTGCATTAAAAAATGCCACTTGCATTATTTTTCAGCAATGAATTTTAGAAATATTTATTTTTGTATTGTGTGTCTATCAACTATGAGCATAGTCCTACAGCTGTACAGGGTGGCAGAAAAGTTCACTTGAAATACCTACCAGCAGGAATCCTGGGGGGTAAAGTTCCTCCCCCTGGTACTGGATGCGGAGCCTGGATGCTATTTAAAAACCCCGCCCTCAGGAAGCTGGGGCAAAACGCCTCCACCCCAATGGCCGGGAAGGATCCTTTTAAGAGATAAAAATTGACATTAATCAAAATCTTCTTTGTGGAAAACCTTAATCAATAAAGATATCAAACCTCACAAGGAAGCTATAAAATTAAAAGACATGAAATGCATTTTTATTCATAAGTTTAAGAAAATCAACTGTGTGTTTGAGAAGAAAGCTACTCTTAACGGATTATAATCAAAAAGGATTTAAAAGTATCAGAATGCTAAGAAAAATTTTATAAACTTAAATTTGAGAAAGTGGATATAAATGCAAATCATTGAGGTTGTCTATTTGCAGAACTCATGTCCACATGAGTTACAAATATGCAGAAGATCACTACATTTGTATCTGAGACCTGTGCGGCACTGGCAAGAGCAGTGCTTTAATTACATTAATCAGTGCTTAATATGAGAAAAACGTTGGTACCATACAGTAATTATATATGTTTTTTGAAATAGTGGTAAGAAAATCAATATACACTATTTCTAATTTGTTCTACTTTTAGGGACAAGACATGAGAGTTTGCAAAGGTAGAACCACATGCTTTTTTATTTTTAAGAAGGCTATGGTGAAGCAAAAAAAAAGTATACTTGGAAGTTTATCCATAAAATTCTATTATGAATTATAGAATAAAAGAATATCAGGGCTGGGAAGGACATCAGAGATCATTATAGACCAGAAAACTGAGGTGTGGAGAGAGAAAGTGATGTCACATAGCTGGCAGACTACTAGGACAAAAGCTTTCCACTGTAGATTAAAAACAAATGAGCCATTTCTTATTTGGGAGATTGCTAACCTCTGAATATGAATTAGAAACCCTGTACTCTGGAATAATAGCATTACAATTTGGTTTCTCAATGACCTGAAAGACACCTAAATAACTGTGCAGAGAGTTTAATATACATGCAATATTAGTGCATGGGCAGCACTGGTAATTGATGGTATATCTAAGTTTAAATCACAGTAATACTCTAAAAGCAAGTTACACTGTTGGCTGTAAGGAAGGCATCTCATTTCGGCCTTCTGAAACCCCATCAGGCCCAGAAGTTATGACATACAAAGATCTGGGATCAATCATCCCGTGTTCAGATTTAACAAGTCCTGTAGTTTTAAAGAGATTTCCCTGTTCTGACACAAATTTTGCACTCAAAGTTAAAATTTTAAACTTCTTTGAACTTTGACCAAGATTAAAGGGACCTGGTATATCATTCTCTATATATCTTTCTTCTATGGAGGAAGTTGTTGCTAAAGAAAGGCCAGCATTTCTTTAGATCTTCAGAGATGTTTTTATGGGAGAGCAAAGTTACAATGTATGTTTCCATGGGTGAGGCCTATACATTGTGCACTGGATTAAAGCAAGCATAGGAAGAAAATCATATGCTGTGAATAAACTGGTTTTGTTGTTGATTTTATGAGGTTTTAGCAAAATGCTCTAGCAGAGCTGGAATCCCTTAAAAATTAAGTTGCATGACAAAAATAACAAATAGTAAGCCAGAAAGTGCTCTGGGTTAACTTGTTGAAAAGTGGAACAAATTTCTCCTTTGTTACTGAACACATGGTATATTTATCATTGAGCACAAAGGTAATATATGCCCATGTACAATGGTCTCACACAGGACATTTTCCACATTGCAATGTTCCATCCCTGCTTGACAATATACACATAGAAAAGGAGCTTCACCAGGCAGAGATAATTATATATTTATGTGGCATTGTTATTTAAAGTTACAAAAGAAATGGTGATTTAACAACAGGAAAAATAATTACAAGAAATTTAGATTTTATTATATGCTGTGAAAAACAAAACTAATCCAATTTTAGCTGATTATGGTTTACTGAAGCAAAGTAATAGGAAGCCTGGTTCAAGAATACTAGGACAAAAAGAAAAAGATAATAATCATGCACAGGAAAAAAAAAGGGGGATATAAATGTAATTATCTTAAAGACAATTTGAAGGAAAACAAAAGCGTGTACAGCAGACTTTAAATAATGTTAATATGCTTCACTTTTAGAGACTTTTACCTGATTTTTTGCTGTTTTCTACCACATTACTCAAAACTGTCAACTTGGAAAAGATGTCCATTATTTTTACTCCTTAAAGGAAACAACATATTCTACTTTATTGCTATTGATTATAATGATTATTATTTTTATAGTTGTGACTGCTTGTCATACTAATAGTTTCCATTTTCCTAAACTTGCTGCATCATTCATAAGGGCTTTGTTGTGTTTCTTTACCATTGTTTAAAAGGTCTTTTCATTTATTGTGGCATCTCTTCCTTAAGGAACTATTTCTTTTTTTTATATCTGAAACACACAAACAGGAAAGCTGGTGTATATGAATATATATTCAGTTGAAATATCATATTATATGATAATAATACCTTATCATTTTTCTCTTTAAGGTCAGTCATGTCAATAGAAATTGCATGAAAAACTACAGCTTTAAATTTTCAAAATTCAATCAGGAAAACTGAATTTATTCTTTATTATAATTACATTAAGTATTAATCCACAAGAAATTAAGTTCATGAACCTTTTGGGGTTTGATGTGAAATAATTATAGTCTAGTTTGCCCTACTGCTTGAGTTGCTGGCTCTTTTTTTCTTGTTAAGTAATTGTGGAATTTATTAATCAAATATATGACAGCTGAAGAACATATTCTAATATCCATAGTAGGAGAAATGTAAATTTCCATGAAATTTATTTTTAGTTACATTCAGTAGACTAAGTGCTTGTTAATAACAAGGAGATTTTTAGGTGATGAGAGGATTCCTCTAGCCATTACAAGTTTGAAATATAAGATATATTACTTCAGACATGCTTTTCCAAATCTCAAATACTCGAATTTCCAGTTTGTTAGTGATCTTGGGTTGATGGATTAAAGAGAGACCCATATGTGGCATTAGCATATGTTGTCTATAATACAGAGTTGCACATAACTGGGCATCCTGTATTTTTATTTGCTAAATTGGCAATTCTAATTTCAAACACTTTTGGATACCAGACGGAACAAGACACTATTAACTACTGTTGTAATGTAAGTCAACAAAAGCCACTGACTGTAAGAATCAGTGATTTATGTATCTTTCATTAGTTTGGTGGTTTTCAATATCCCTTAGGAAGAACTGCAAATTATAACTGTGGAAAGACATTACTGATGGCAGATTTTGATTTTCATTGACTTGGTCTACCTACTTACCCATCTGTCTAATTTCACTTGTCCTTTGTCAGGCTGTTTCCCTCTGCTCCTTGTGTATTTCATGTTTTATCTCCTACATACTTCTCTCTTTGTTACAATAACTTATAGTATTTTACATTCTTTCCTCCATCTTAGATAAGTACAAGAAAACTATAAGCCCACTTTATTTTTTCAGGCATATGCTTCCTACTTTCCTGTGATGGTGGATGAAACCTCAGACTTAACAGTTACATCACCATTGAAGGCAAACCAGCAACACTAAGAAGAGCCATTTTCATACAAGGATTGGAAGAGTACATCTTTTACTCCATGAAGACCTTTTAGGTCTCTTTTACCTAACAACACACTATCTAGGAAAGGCTAAGCTGCTCTGTCTCATTTGTTAGAGAAGATTCCTACCTCATTGTGATGCAATGAGGCAGGCTAGCTGGGAGACCAACAGGCCTTTTCTAACTTGATCAGAAGATGCACAGTGTAGGGTTTCAATGAATGCAAATTGAATAAGTGGATAAATAAATGATCAGATGAAAAGTGACAAACTGCTCCTTGGGCATATATATTGCTAGGATCTAAGGAAGTATTCTTCCTGTGCAATTGCTTCTTAGGCCAATAGCAACTTTCTAAATGATAAGATGAGAGAGAGTTAATTTTGAATTACACTTAGAAGATGAAAGAGAACCATTCCATTCATGAGCAAGTCATTCATTTCTCATTTTATCACTCATGGACTTTTTTCATTTATTCAGTAAATATTTATTGAAGTACCTATTTTTTTTTTTAACCAGGCCTTATAGCATACATCTTTAGCACAAAAAGAGGAAATCAAGTATTTTTATATGTGACATTATTACTTTCAGGAAATGATTCTAACTAAGCTATGTCAAAAATACAATTACAGAATTTTATCCATTTCCTAAATTCTTATAAATGGAAATATTACCATAATTAAGTTAGTATTTTCTTCTTCAGTTACCTGCCTAACTAATCTCCATGTAGATTCGTTAGTACCGAATACAATTAAAGATCATACAACCATTACTGTTTTATTTTTGACTTTTTTTTATTCTAGGGTCACTGCAAAATGAATTTTATAGATTTCTCATCCTGTTGTTCAATAGGTCACAATAAAAGTATTGAACCAAAAGGAGCAGTTTCATGGTTAGATTTTTATGAGTTAGTTCTTCAGTGCTTTTAAAACGAATTTTTTAGCTTTCCTTGAGTTATTTTTAAACTTGTAGGTTATATATGATAAGATGATGGTTGCTATAGGTTATTATTTAAAACTAAAGCAGTAGCAAGGAGAATTAAAATATTTTGAAGCTGATTAAGAGTAAGCCATTTATTGAAAAATGCATTTTAATTTACATTTAAAATAGAAGTTCTCTGACTTTTTAAAACAAATGTTTTGAGTAGCCTCATCTGTAAAGTGATGACCTTGGACCAGAATGTCCCTAAATTTCCTTTACAAAATTTTTATTCCATTTGCTACAGTGAATTAAAGCTATACTTTCCCCAAATGTAGATGATGTCCAGTGGTCTTACCTATGTTTATATTTGGTGGGACTTAGAATTTTAACTGCCAAAAAAATGTCCCGACTAAATTTGCAATCTGCTAATCCACCATCATGTTTAATAATGACAATGCTAGGCTTGAGCCAAGTAGAACTCTGATTCTACCATTCACTAGCTGATTAAACCTGAATGAGTTATTTACCTTCTCTTATACTCCCTTTCTCCATTTAAAAAATAGAGTTAATAATAAACACATCACATGTTATTTTTTTGCAGACCATATGAGAAGCACAATATTAGT